AGGGTATGGCTCGGGTTCGGTGGTCACGTTTAGGTGGTTAGGGTTAAGGTTAGGGTGTTCCGGTTGGGGTTCGGGTGTTCGGATTGGTGTCTTACGCGCGGTCAGGGTTAGGGCTAGGGGGTAAGGGTTAGGGTGTCAAAGGTTAGGGTGTTAAGGTAAAGGGTATACCGGTTTAGGGGGTTGGTGTAATGTGTTAGGGCTCGGGTGTTAGAGTCATATTGTTCCCCACATGCTTCGTGGGGTTTTGGTATTCTCCCCGCCCGCGCCGCACCTGCGTCTCACCCACGCCCGCCCTCCTCCCCTCCTCCTCCTCCTCCTCCCCCTCCTCCTCGCGCGCGCAGCACAACGCTGCGCAGCGCAGCACAGCACAGCACATCACAACGCAGCGCACACAGCACAGCACAGCACAGCACAGCACAGCACAGCACACACACACACGGCTTGGCACGTGCGGCACATTCTCGACGCCATAGGGGTCGTCCACGGCACAGCAGGCGCGGCAGTTTTGCACAGCACACCTGCACAGCACAGCATAGCATATCACAGTACAGCACACCGTAGCACAGCACGGCACGGCACAGCACAGCACATCGCAGCACAGCATGGCACACAGGGCAGGCGCGCGGGGCACGGCACGGCAGAGCGTGGCAGGGGTGGCACTTTCTCGACACCACAGGGGGTGCGCAGGAAATGGTCCCTGAGCTCGGCCGCTATGCGCGACGGTTGTCCAGGCATAGCAGGCGTGGCACTTCCTCGACACCACAGGGGGTGCGCAGGGGGTGGTCCCTGAGCTCGGCCGCTATGCACGACGGTCGTCCAGGCGCAGCAGGCGTGGCATTTTCTCTACATCATAACGGGGTGTGCAGGAAGTGGTCCCTGAGCTCGCCGCTATGCACGACGGTCGCCCAGGCACAGCAGGCGTGACAATTTCTCGACACCATAGGGGGTGCGCAGGGGGTGGTCCCTGAGCTCGCCGCTATGCACGACGGTCGCCCAAACACAGCAGGCGTAGCACTTTCTCGACACCACAGTGGGTGCGCAGGGGGTGGTCCCTGAGCTCGGTCGATATGCGCGACGGTCGTCCAGGCACAGCAGGCGTGGTACTTTCCCGACACCAGAGGGGGTGCGCAGGGGGGCCCGAGCTCGGCCGCTATGCGCGACGGTCGTCAGGCATTAGCAGGGTGGGCACTTCTCGACACACAGGGGGTGCGAAAGGGGGTGGTCCATGAGATCGGCCGCTATTGCACGTACTCCGGTGTCCAAGCACAGCACGCGTGGCACTTTCTCGACACCAGAGGGGGTGCGCAAGGGGTGGTCCCTGAGCTCGGTCGCTATGCGCGACGGTCGTCCAGGCACAGCAGGCGTGGCACTTTCTCGACACCACAGGGGGTGCGCAGGGGGTGGTCCCTGAGCTCGGTCGATATGCACGACGGTCGTCCAGGCACAGCAGGCGTGGCACTTTCCCGACACCAGAGGGGGTGCGCAGGGGGTGGTCCCTGAGCTCGGCCGCTATGCACGGCGGTCGTCCATGCATAGCAGGCGTGGCACTCTCTCGACACCACAGGGGGTGCGCAGGGGGTGGTACCCTGAGCTACGGCCGCTATGCACGACGGTCGTCAAGGCACAGCAGGCGTGCACATTCTCGACACCATAAAGGTGGTGCAGGAAGTGGTACTGAGCTCGGTCGATATTGCACGACGGTCGTCAGGCACAGCAGGCGTGGCACTCTCGTACACCACAGCGGGCAGTGGCAGGGTGTGGTTCCCTGAGCTCGGCCGCTATGCACCGACACCCTCGACGGTAGTCCTGGCATAGCAGGCGTGGCACTTTTCGCATCATAGGGGGTGCTGCGGCAGCGGGGTGGTCTCTCAGCTCGGCCGCCATCCACGACACTGGCGCAAAGCCTAGCAGGCATGGCACATTCTCGACACCACAGGGGGTGCGCAGTGGGTGGTCTCTCACCGCGGCCGCTATGCACGACGGTCGTCCAGGCACAGCAGGCGCGGCACTTTCTCGACACCGCAGGGGGTGCGCAGGGGTGGTCTCTCACCGCGGCCGCTATGCACGACGGTCGTCCAGGCGCAGCAGGCGCGGCACCTTCTCGACACCACAGGGGGTGCGCAGGGGCTGGTCTCTCACCGCGGCCGCTATGCACGACGGTCGTCCAGGCACAGCAGGCGTGGCACTTTCTCGACACCACAGGGGGTGCGCAGGGGGTGGTCTCTCAGCTCGGCCGCCATCCACGACACTGGCGCAAAGCCTAGCAGGCGTGGCACTTTCTCGACACCAAAGGGGGTGGGCAGGGGGTGGTCTCTCAGCTCGGCCGCTATCCACGACACTGGCGCAAAGCCTAGCAGGCGTGGCACTTTCTCGACACCACAGGGGGTGCGCAGGGGGTGGTCTCTCACCGCGGCCGCTATGCACGACGGTCGTCCAGGCACAGCAGGCGTGGCACTTTCTAGACACCACAGGGGGTGCGCAGGGGGTGGTCTCTCACCGCGGCCGCTATGCACGACGGTCGTCCAGGCACAGCAGGCGTGGCACATTCTCGACACCACAGGGGGTGCGCAAGGGGTGGTCTCTCACCGCGGCCGCTATGCACGACGGTCGCTCAGGCACAGCATGCGTGGCACTTTCTCGACACCACACGGGGTGCGCAGGGGGTGGTCTCCCACCGCGGCCGCTATGCACGACGGTCGTCCAGGCACAGCAGGCGCGGCACATTCTCGACACCACAGGGGCTGTGCAGGGGGTAGTCTGTCACCGCGTCCACTATGCACAACGGTCGTCCAGGCACAGAAGGCGTGGCACTCTCTCGACACCACAGGGGGTGCGCAGGGGCTGGTTCCTCACCGCGGCCGCTATGCACGACGGTCGCCCAGGCACAGCAGGCGTGGCACATTCTCGACACCATAGGGGGTGCGCAGGGGGTGGTCCCTGAGCGCGGCCGCTATGCACGAAGGCCGTCCAGGCACAGCGGGCGTGGCACTTTCTCGGCACCACAAGGGGTGCGCAGGTGGTGGTCTCTCACCGCGGCCACTATGCACGACGGTCGTCCAGGGCATAGCAGGCGTAGCATTTTCTCGACACCATAGGGGGTGCGCAGGGGTGGCCCCTCACCGCGGCCGATATGCACGACGGTAGCCCAAGGCATAGCAGGGCGCGGACTTTCTGACACCACAAGGGCGGTGCGAAAAAAGGTGGTCTTCACCGTGCCCCCCCCCCCCACTATGCACGACGGTCGTCAAGGGCGCAGCAGGCGTGGCACTTCTCGAAACCACATCGGGGGCCCAAAGGGTGGTCTCTCACGCGGCCGATATGCACGACGGTCGTCAGGGCACAGCAGGCGCGGATGTATAGACGAAGACGATGGAGGACGACGACGAGAGCGACGAGTACGACGGACGACGGAGATACTCAGTACGACTCGCTGGTTCGATGGTTGGTCTGGTTTGCGTGGTTGTGTTCTGGTATGGCTGAGTTGGTTTGGTCTGGTTGGTTCTGGTTGGTGTGGTCGGTGGCCTGGCTGCCCGTGTGGCTGCCATGCTGATTGGCCTGGCTGGCTGGTCTGATTACCTTGGCTGGTTATGGCTGGAACGACTGATCCGACTGGTCTGGTCAGTCTGGCTGGTCTGGCTGATCTGGCTGGTCTGGTCAGTCTGGCTCGTCAGGATGGCGAAGCGGGGTGTGACATGGTTTGTGAACACACGTGATATTGTGGGGTTCCTCGGTATCGTAATTTTTGTTTTGGGTGTTGGTGTTCGGTTTTACGGCTAGGGCTGGGGTTCGTGTTGGTGCATTAGTGTTAGGGTTTGGGGGGGGTCGGGTTGGGTCAGGATTCGGGTGTTCGGGTTTGGTTAGGGTGTTAGCTTCAGTGCGTTGGGGTTCCGCCGACGGTTAGGGGGTCAGGCTTGGTGTGATTGTTAGGGACAGGGTGTTAGGGTTAGGGTGTCGGGGCTTGCGGGTGAGAGCTAGGATGTGCGTGTTAAGCTTATTAGGGTTAGGGTGTGAAGGTTAAGATGATAGGGTTACGGTGTTAGGGTTAGGGTAGTAGTGTCAGGGTTAGGGTGTCAGGGTTACGGCGTTCGGGATAGGGTTAGGGTTTGAGGGTTTGGGTTGGGGTGGTGGTGTGAGAGTATCAGGGCTAGGGGTTCGGGGCAAGGCTTAGGAGGTCTGGTTCTTCGGGTAAGGTGTTAGCATTAGGGTGTTAGAGTTAGGGTGTCGGGGCTAGTGTGTGCGGACTAGGGTGGCGGGGCCCGTGTGTTAGTATTCGGGTGTTAGTGTCTGGGTGAGGGTTCTAGGGTCAAGGCTGTAAGGGTTCATGTGGGTTAGAGCGTTAGGGCCAGGGTGCTTGAGTTAGCATGCTGGGGGGAGTGTTGAGCGCTAGGGTTCGGTTGATCGGGCCAGGATGCAAGAATTCGGGTTTTAGGGTTGCGGGGGCTAGGGTTAGGGGTCAGGGTTTGGGCGTGAGGGCGTTGTGGTTCAGGGCGAGGGTTATTGTGTCAGGGCCAGGGTGCCTGGGTTAAAGCGTTAGGGTCAGGGTGCGAGCGTCTGGGCGTGCGGATTCGGGCGTTGGGGTCAGGGTGTTAGGATTCAAGAGTTCTTTTCCCCAACCCTCCTTGGTTGGGTATTCGTTTTGAATAGAGCAGTGTGGTCTCCACCCCTTCCTTCCTTCCTCCTCCTCCCTCCCTGCCTCTTCCTGTCTTGCCTGCGGGGGGCTGCGATCTGTGAAACTGTCGCCGTGTCCGAGGCCTGCCGGGGGGCCCAGCACAGTGAGGGCCACTCGCGGATTCAAATTAGACCTCGCCGTCCCTGGGGG